ATGGATCACTACTATTTTGGCTCATAAATTTTTTGTCATTGTACTTCCAAAACGGATGTTTCGGTCCATACTTCCAAAGGTGTCCATTAGGTGAAAAATTATGCTAAAATAACGAACTTATGAATATAAACGTTTCGAGAACAATATTATTTAGTGTGAGATCCCACATTAGTTGTGGAAGAGAACGAAACAATTCTATAAGAGTTAGGAAACTTCTCCCTAGCAAAAAGTCCAAAGAGAATAATATATGCGGTGTGTTTGAACTGTTACAAATGGTATAAGAGGTAGACATCGTACGATGTGCCAACGAGGAGGATAAGCCTCTAAGGAGGGTGGACATGAGACGATGTGCCAACAAGAATGTTGGGCCTGAAGGAGGTGATTGGGGTATCCCACATCGATTGGAGAAGGAAAAACAGGCCAACGAAGACGTTGGGTTACGAAGGGGGTTGATTGTGAGATCCCACCTCGATTGGAGAGGGGAACGAAACAATCTTTTTAAAAACCTTAAGGAAAGCCGAAAAGGAAAACCCAAGCCCAAAAAGGACAATATTGCTCAAGCTCAAAAAAGACAATATTGACTAGCACGGGTGGACGTTTGATATTTTAATAAAAAGTTAATAAAATTATACCCTAGGAAATGGGTTTACTTATTTATTTAATGATGAATAAATTGAAAAAAAAAAAAAGGGAAAATATGGGAACGCTAGGAATTGGGGCATTAAATAAGACTCACTTGACTGCTAGTGTGCACGGACGCAATACGATCTCTAAAGACTTTCTTGGTGAACCAAACTCCGTTTCCAAAATAATTAGGTTTAGTGTGTAGAATTTACGTTTACACAATTCTCGTGAAGCTCTGTATTAGCGGTGACCCGGAAAGCATCATTGTCTTGAGTGATGACCCCATTTTAACACTCAAATCTCTACTTCTCTACTGCATTCTGCAGTGAACTGGAGCCCCAACATTCCCTTCCAGAGTCTCCGCTGGTTTATAAGCTTCGATCAAAGGTGAGTTTTCTCCGTCTCCATCTTTCCAAGCTAGTTCTCTTATTCACTGACTTTGTTCATACGTTATTCCTGGATTTTGTTGCTTTCTCAATTTCGGCGTCTCCAAGTTTCGTATGTTTTTTTTGGATTTTGGTTGTTGTTCTTATCTGGGTCTTGCTTAATTTTGGAGAATGGATGGTTTAATCTGTTCTGTATTGGGTGTTTTGATTCCTTGATCCGGATTTCTGGGATTTTGGTGGATGATTCTTGTTTGATTCTTCGATTTTGATGGGGTGTTGTGTTTTATGTTATCATTCTCTATTGAGTATTTGAACTTGGAAGAGAAATTCATGAGCGAGGAGTTTAAATCTTATGATTTCCCTTTTCTCCTGTCAGTTTGATGGGTACCATTGGTGATAATTGGGGTGATGATTGTTCTGTCATCAAAGACAGAGGAGAGATTTCCTACATCGACTATGAAGATGATAAATCTGTTTGCAGCTACAATCCTATTGAGGAAGGTCCAATTATCATTTCAGTGCCATTTGCTTTTGTGAATGGCAAACCACAATCAGTTTTTGTAGGAGAATCAGTGGCAGATGCAATTACGATCAAGAACACCACCGATGAATCGGTGGACCTATGGGCTGTTAATATTTATGCATCTAATCCCGAGAACTCGTTTACGCTCTCTCTAATGGAGCCCCCTTCGGCAAATGCGAACATAGAAGTTGTACAAGCTTTTTTGGAGTCCTTTTCGTTGGAGGATAGAATGATCCATCCGGGCGAGACTCTTACTGTATGGCTGTCTTGCAAACCGAAAGAAATTGGCTTGCACACGACTGTTGTGCATTTTGATGTTGGCAATGAGAGAATAGAACGCGTTTCTTTTCTGTTAGCAGATGATAAGATTTCCCAGTCATTGGCTTCTAGGAAGCCGTATTCAAGAGATAGAAAAAAGAGGCACGAGGTAGCAGACTCTTATATTCCTGGCTCACGTCCCATTAGAACGCAAGGTCGAGGATTCAAAAATTTTCTTCCCCATTATGATATCCCAAGAAGAATTAGAGATGAACTTAACAGAAAGGAGACTCCTAGTGCTGTTAGGGAAGGACTTAAAAGAGATACCTACGTTCCCTACTTTATGACTTTGTTGAACATGGAAGAAATACAATTGGAGGTAAATAAATGAGGTTTTGAATGTATTTACACATTTCTGTTTGATATTATATGAAATTTGGTCCGTTATTGCTTGCAGGAAGACATGAGAGCTTACGATATGGAACGTGTAACTATGAAAAGAAAGGGACATCATTTTTTGTGCCTTGAGGTTCCAGGGCTTGCTGAGAGAAGGCCTTCACTTGTCCATGGAGACTTTATTCTTGCCAAGATGCCTTCTGGACATGCAAATGACACGGTTAACGCTTATCAGGTCTTGGTCTGCATTAATATTGAGTTTTCTACTCCTTTGTGTATGCAATCATATTTAGACGTGCTCGTTCAATCTTTTCTGTAATTTGTGGTTTAATATTCAGAATGTTCTTGTCCATGTTCCATAATCAATTCCATTAATGTGCAGGGCTATATTCATCACGTCGAGGCTGATGAGGTTTACCTAAAATTTGCTCCAGAATTTCACGTTAACCACAGAGACTTCAATCTATACAATGTCCAGTTTACCTATAACAGAATTAACATGAGGAGGTTCTATCAGGCTATTGATGCTGCAGATAGTTTGGCAAAGGAGTTTCTATTCCCATATGAGTTTTCGGATAGAAGAGTTATCAAGACTAATCCGCTGGTGCCTATAACTCAAAATATCAACGAGGAACAAATGCGTTGTGTTCAGATGATCCTTGGTTGCAGAGGAGCACCACCTTATTTAGTTCATGGACCTCCTGGTACTGGTAAGACTCAGACCTTGGTGGAAGCTATCCTTCAACTCTACACAACTAGAAAGAATGCTCGTATTCTTGTTTGTGCTCCTTCAAATAGTGCTGCAGACCACATACTGGAGAAACTCCTCAGTGAGGAGGGTGTTGAAATTCGTGATAATGATGTTTTCAGGCTTAATGCAAGCTCACGGCAATATGAGGAAATCAAGCCTGATCACCTTCGTTTTTGTTTCTTTGATGAGCAAATTTTCAAGTGTCCTCCACACAGTGCCCTTGTGCGCTATAGGATTATTGTGTCAACTTATACAAGTACTTCCCTTCTTTATGCGGAAGATATCAAGCGTGGCCACTTCTCTCACATTTTCTTAGATGAGGCTGGCCAAGCTTCAGAGCCAGAAACGATAATTCCTATATCCAACCTTTGTCTTAGGAAAACAGTCGTTGTTCTTGCTGGTGATCCCATGCAATTAGGTCCAGTGATTTACTCTAAAGAAGCAGAAATTTATGGATTGAGTAAATCATATTTGGAAAGGCTTTTTGAATGTGAATATTACTGCACTGGGGATGAAAACTATGTAATAAAGTTGTTAAGAAACTATAGATGTCATCCGGATATCTTACATCTTCCTTCTACATTGTTCTATGGTGGTGAATTAATTGCATGTAAAGATGAAAAAAGTTTCCTCACGGATTCAGCAGATATCCTTGAAGTACTTCCTAGTAAGGAGTTTCCTGTTCTTTTCTTTGGTATCCAAGGTTGTGATGAGAGGGAAGGCAACAATCCATCATGGTTCAACCGAATTGAGGTTAGCAAGGTGGTAGAGGTTATAAAGAAACTGACTGCTGGTGGAAATCTGGTCGACGAAAATATTGGGGTCATAACGCCGTATCGACAACAAGTGATTAAAATAAGGAAAGCCCTTGATAGCCTGGATATGGTTGATATAAAGGTCGGTAGTGTAGAACAGTTTCAAGGACAAGAGAAGCAAGTGATTATTGTTTCTACTGTTCGATCAACGATCAAACATAACGAGTTTGACAGAACCTACTGTTTGGGGTTTTTAAGTAATCCAAGAAGGTTTAATGTGGCTATTACCCGGGCGATATCTCTTCTGGTTATAATTGGCAATCCCCATATAATCTATCAGGTGATTTTTGTTACTTTAGTAAATGTTGTTCAAGATTGAACCCAGCATTATGTTCTTGTAAAATACTGCAGAATCCTTAGACTAATATATACTGGAGATATGGGATAGTGTACTCTTAAATTTATTCATAATAGGCACATTCCCCTCAAGTTTAGTAACTTTTAGCAGATGTAGCGTTGTGAAGTGCCTTAGGGTCTCTCCAATAACTAAGAAGATAACTTGAACATAATGACTTCCAGACTTGGAAGCAAATGTGAAAAATGCTTAATGGCAGGACTTGGTTGTTTTGGCAGGATGTGTATTGGAGCAAGCTATTATGGCAGTGTGTTGACAAAGATTCATATCAAGGTTGCTCCCTCCCTGAAAGGCAGGATCCCACAGATGAGGAACTTCCATGCAATAACGAAGAGGGACCATGTTCAGGATTTGAAGGAGCAGGGAAGAATCATGAGGGACAAAGTTCAGGATTTGAAGGAGCTGACCAGAATCAAGATCTGCCGGAGATGGAATTTTCGAGACCGGTTGTTAATGAAGATGAATGGTCTGATGGTTGGAAGTAACTTTTGCTACAAGTCAAGGAAGAAAGTGGAGAAAGAGAAAATTTTTTGCTTATTTTTTTCTTCTTAGATCTTTGTAGATGTCTTGGAAACATTGTTTATATACTCTACTGTTAATTTAAGAGTGCTTTTGTTTCTAGTCTTTCCTGTTGAAGGTAGAAAATTCCATGCTAATGTTTAAGGCTTCATGATTTGTTTTCAAATCTCTGCGAGAAATCCAACTGGAGAGCTTTCAAGGAGACAAGCAAGTGATGATTTCTCGATGAAGAGAAGATTTAATTTATTATTATTATTATTATTATTATTTTACGGTTGCATGTTCTTAGATTCTATAAACATAATTTCCTGAAGATTCAGATTGATGAAATGCATATAATAAGGAGAAAATCCCAAGAGAATTACCAGGACTATCAGGTTCTTGAATTCCTGGAATCTTCGAGCTTCGAAGAGGAGGCAGAGTTCATGAAGCTGATTAAACAACATAACTCAACAATCTTCAAATTAAGCACCGGAAAACAAGAATTGCTGGAATCAAGAAATTCAAGTCATGAATAAAGAACGAGAGAGCGAGAAATTGAATCACGCTTTCGAATTCATACCAGCACAGAGCGAGTCTGGAGAATTATTCTTCTCCAAATACATTCCACCATTGAGAGAAAAAAAAACGAAGACAGAGCGATCAGCTTCGTACTGTTCAACGGAAAGCCCCAAATCTGAGGTCCTCGACGAAAGTAACATTGGCAAATGCCGCCGAATGGAATCGTAGGCGGAGGAGACCGCTCGCAGCAAGCGGAAGGAACCGTATCGGATCGGCGAAGCAGAGATGTAAGGCAAACATGGCGACAACAAGAGCAGCTCTCTGGTGGCGCATCCGGTCGGCGGCGACATTGCAAACACCCTAACAGCCGTGAGAAGTACAATTAGCGAGATGACGACGCTAAATATCGCCGCCATTGTTGCGGTTCGGAGTTGTAAAGGAGATTACAAAGATCGAACAATCGGAGATTTCTTCTTCCGTCGTTCCGGTTTTAAATGATAAGTCCCTTTTTAAGACGATCAAAATGGCGGGAACAAACTTTGCATACCGAAAATACCCTTAACCGTTTGACAAATAGTTGACTATTTGTATTTATATTTTTCCTCAAATATTTATTTATTTATTTAATTCATAAACTTCTAAAAACTATATATATAAAAATTTAGGATTTTATTAGATATAATTCCATTTTTAAAATTTTGAATATACAAAGAATTAAAATGGACTACAAAAATTTGAATACGTCTCGACCCTTTGGACTCGTGATTTATAATTTGATCACTTATCTTTTTTTATTTTAGCTACTCCAAATAACAAACCAATTAACTCATTTTTCACCGATATTCTTATAAAAATTTTGTTTTTCTTTGAATGCTCGATTTCTAGCCGATAAATAAATACAACAAAAAACTATACAATTAAGCCATAAAGTAACATAAAATAGAGCCTAAAGATATCACTTTTTATGTGCTATCACTTATGCCTACTAAAAAAATAATAAAAAAACAATATAATATAATATACATATCTATATATATACACGGCAAAAAGTTAATGAATTTGGTGATTAGACGACAAAAGAAATAATTGCATAATTTAATATTTTAAAATTTAATGCAAATTTTTTAGAAATGGAAAAATAAATAAATAAACGCAAGTGGAGGGAGAGAGACATTACTTTATTACTTTACTACTTTATTTATTTATTTTGTGAAAGAGAGATGCTTTTCTTAATGGATAATTACATATTAAATTCTTGTCTCGTCTCATTTTCAAATCATAATTTTAAAATAATTTAAAACACCTTTTTCCAATTTATAGAATAAAAGAAATTACACCATTATTTTTAATACAATTCATTCATATAATTTATTTTGTAAATTTATATAAAATTATCAAAATAACTTATTAAATAAAAAGTATTAATGATTTTTTTAAAAAAATATGGGTATTTTTTTAATTTTTTTTAAATGAAGAGTATTTTAGAGAGTTTTTTTAAAAAATTGTAAGATATTATTGAAAATTTAAAAAATTTAGAAATATTTTTTTAAAAAAAATAAAAAATAGTATATTAAATAATAATTAGATGATGGTTCAATATTTGTAGGTCAAGTCTAAATCAACAATTTGCAATTACTGGTCATTTTAATTTAGTCAATTGCAAAAATACACCATATTTTCTTTTATTTATTTATTATTATTGGATAAAATGGATCTAGGTGTCTTTGTCCAAGTAAGCAAGTTGCCAGCTGTCACTATCTCTCATTTCTTCATTTCCTCTCATCTTTTCAATGTAATAATTATGACTAAGAATGGAAATAAAAAATTAGCCTCAAGTTAAAAAATAATTTTATTTTTTATTATTAGTTTCTTTTTTTTTTTTAATCACATCCTAATTTTTTTCAATAAAACAATCAAATTTAATTCGTCAAATCATCTAATCTCATTTTAACGAAACGTTATCAACTAAAAATAACGAGAGCAAGATGAAGGCTTTTAAAATTACACATACGAAACTTACATTAACGATGACGATGATGCAAAATTACAATTTGAACCTAAAAATGATTTACTCGCTCAGTTCTAATTTTATCCGCTTAGTTGTCAAATCATCTAATTTCGTTTTAACGAATTTGACAATTACGTTATCAACTAAAAATAACTCGATTAACGATAGCGAGAGAAGGATCGGGACTTTTAAAAGTACACATACAAAACTTATAATAACGATCACAATGATGCAAAATTACAATTTTAGCCCTGATAATTAAAAAGCCAAAAAAAAAAAAAAAAAGGTATTATGGCCCATGGGTTTCGGCCTTTATGAAGCTTTGGCTGATCGAGCACACGGAGAGACTTTTGCACTGGTTTTTGTGGAGTGAAATGGTGTCGTGTCATTAACAAACCCCCTTTTCGTGGGCCCCAACTGCCATTTGTCAAGGCCTATACAACGTCATCATTAAAAAAAATTTTAAAAATCTAATAATCAAAAGGAAAGAGTCTGACGTGGATGCAATCAAGTCCCAGCTGGTCAATGTGGGGTCCACTGTTTGAAATTTGAGTAATGCAATTGGGTGCGGTGGTTTGATTAATTTAGAGTTTCTTTCTCATTCTCTAATCGAATCCTTCCACGTAAGGGGTTCCCTACGGAAAGGACGTTACGTGTGCCCCTTACGTGGAGGACCCACCTCTTACGTGGACCCATGAAAATTCCTTTTTTTTTTTTTTTTTTTTTTTTAAGAAAAAAGAAAATTTTCAATAATTATTTATCGACCTTATAACCCTAACTAGATTTATCTTTCTCCCTTAAAAAAATAAAATAAAAAACCTTAATTTATATACTTTTTTGCTTACCTATGATTAAATCATATCATTAATGGACAAGATGAAGTGGTTGGGTTCTATATCAAGCTCAAAGTTTATATTAATTTTTTATAGATTAAGACTAAAGTTTAATATATTTCATTGGTAGGCCACCACCTCGTCGATTAAAGTTTTAAATATGATTCCGTCTGCCTCCTAGACCTACTTTGAAGTAATAGTGTCAACATTTTTGCTCAATTATTCTTAGTATATATTATATAAATATTTTGTTGCCTCGAGATAAAAAGGTATCATTTACACTTTATTTTATTCTAAAATAAAGGTTATTTAAAATAATTGTTTTAAATAACTTATAGCTAGACACTAAAATAAAAGGTTTAAGAATGAGACCCGAATAAAGGAGAATTACGTGAATGGACCGAAACAACATCTAAATCAATGGCTCAATCATGAACTTCATGGTTGTTTTACTTTGAGCAATTCTCGGTTGGGTGGCATCCTAGGAATTTTCCTATGATGCATGTGAATGATGACAAAACATGCTGGAATGACTCGTGTTGATCGGTAGAGATAATCTTGACTCTTAACCAACGAAGAGTGTTGATAATGAAAGTCCCACGTCAGCTAATTTAGGGAATGATCATGGGTTTATAAATAACTCCATTGGTTTGAGGCCTTTTGGGGAAGCCCAAAGCAAAAGCCATGAGAGCTTATGCTCAAAGTGGACAATATCATACCATTGTGGAGAGTCGTGTTCGTCTAACATGGTATCGGAGCCGTGCCCTAAACTTAGTCGTGCCAATAGATTGGTAAATCCTCAAATATCGAACAAAGAACTCCAAAAGAAAAAGAGTCAAGCCTCCTCGAAGGCCGTAAAAAATGACTAAGACTCCAAAGGAGTCAAGCCTCGATTAAGGGGAGGCGCACTTTGTTCGAGGGGAGGTGTTGGATGATGAAAGTCCCACATCGGCTAATTTAGGGGATGATGAAAATCCCACATAGGAGGGAATGATGAAAGTCCCACATCGACTAATTTAGGGAATGTCAAGATTATCAGACACCAAATTCAAATTTCGAATCGTGATTTAACATGATTAGATATGAACGGTTGAACTAATTCAATTTTAATACGCCATTAAATTAGAGCCATGATCTCGTTGTCCCAAATAAACCCATTAACCTAATATTCCCCAAAAACATATTAATCAATAAAGAGAAAGGAAAGCTAATTAAAATTAAGTTATAAAACCAAGTAATTATTGTAAAGTAATCAAGGAAGAAAATGGGCATGGGCCCACAATTAAACCAATAATTAACAAAGACCAAATCATTTAGCTTAGCTATTATTAAAAATAAATATTATAAAATAAAAGAGGAAATTGAGTTAAAAGTGTAACCTTCAACAATCCATTAGCTATGAGGTTCTTCAGATTTCTTGGTGCCATGTCACCATCATAATAAATAGCATCTTTCAAGAGATAAGTACCAAAATAAAATTTTATTTACCATTTAAAACGAGATTATTTACGAAATATTTTTATATTTATTTATGCTACGCTTCTTTTTTATGGACTGTGGTGAGAGCGTGTTGAGTTATGGACTTAATTTAATTATAGAAAGACTCGAGTAGAGAAGATTTCAATAGATGGAAAGGAACGTAGTTGTGATATAGTCAAAGTCAATGCCTTTAGTCTTTATATTCATATTTGATAATTAAAATTTTTAAATAATACGTTAACGGTCAATTACTTTAGAACTGAATTATTGTATGATATCATGTAAAGTAAAGGTACTATCACATTTATATATTAAAAAAAAGAATTTAATAGTAATGATTTTATGTTTATTAATAAATTTTGTTTCTAAATCAATTATTTACAAATAAATACATGTTTTAGTTTTTTTTAATTTAAGATTTTCACTTAATTTTTTTATATTTTTTTGAATTAATTCCTTTATATATATATTTTTTATAATTTTGAATTAATGGCTCGTAGTTTATAAATATTTAAATTGTCACTCCTTGATAAAATTTTAGAGAACAATAAACATATAAAATTAAAACGAAAAAAATTATAATATTTAAAAAATTTAAAAAGTCTAAAACCTTTGGTACGACAAACCATAACCTCATCTTATACTTAAAATTCTAGTTTATTTTAAACCTAATTTACGGAGGGAATACGAAAACTATGAAAGACGGGTATAAATACATTTATTCAACGACTGAATAATCTCTTCTTCATATTCAAAACTCTGGTGACGTAGAAAATTTTCTTTATTGGATAAAATTTTGATAAATAGTTTATATTTTTTTAAAACTTTATAATTTAATTTAAAAAATAAAATTATTTTCCTCGATTTTTGGGAAATTAAATATCATGAAAGCGTGGGGTGAGATTGGTTGAGTTAGGCACTGTGATCATGAAACATTATTGAGACACTCTCGGTCACAGGCACTCTCATCAGCTGTTCATCTTTTCAAAACGGGCCCCTCCATATTGTTTCACTCCGTTGAAAATCCCCATCAGGCCCCTACGTTGACTCTTGACTATAACTACATTTGCAGGGTAATTCCGTCATTTAGGGAGGTAGATAATGCCATAAATTTCATAATAATAATAATGAGAGAAAATAAAATTAAATTAAATAACCGTGGGGGTGGGACCACGAGGAAACATTGGAATGATGTGGGGCCAGACCAGACCACACCAAGAATCCTGCTGTTTAACTGGAGTTAAGTGGGGCCCATTCTTTTTTTCTTTTTAATTATTATTATTTTTTTGTGTTTATGCGGCCGATGAGTCCGGGCTTGATGATGATGGGCCCCACGACCCGGTCCGTGAACTTTACAACCCCGTTTATAACTCTACTGTGGGCTCCACACCAACCCCCTCATCTCTCTCTCTCTCTCTCTTTTACTTTAGCCGAATTAAGTTCACAGCTGACTCGAGAGAGCTACGAACCACACCAAGCCAAGCCAAGCCGATCCCGTAGATTTTGTGAAATTTTAAAAAATATTTATTATATCTAATAATTTTTAAATTTAAACTAATATAGTTCTTTAATATTTATCTTTAAATTTTGTATTTAATGTGCTAAGAAAATTTACTAATTAATTAGCTTCAACAAATATAACTGATTTATATTCTTCATTTTTAAATAGAATCTTATAAAAAAAAATCAAAATATTGTGGAAAAAAAAATGAAGAGAGAGAAAATGTGAGTGTCGGGTCAGTGGGTGTGGGTGTGGGTGTGGGCGTAGGGACCAAGTTGTCTTGTCAGCCTCCGGCGTGGGAGTTTATATATTCTTCCATCATCTCCTCTGTTTTCTTCCACCCCTTCTTCTTCTTCTTCTTCTTCTTCTTCTTCTTCTGGTTTTTTAATTTTTATGAAAACTTTCATAACAAAAATGGAAACTAAAACACGAAGCCGGAGGGGGGATTGATTAACTAAACTCTTCTCTGTTCATCCAGTTTCTTAAATGGAAGCCACCGAAATTTTAGTTCCGGTGAATAAATCCCAACCCACGGCGGTGTCCGATCATCTTGTTCCGGTGAGATTCATGTTTGAATTTCTCATCTGGAGAACTGTTTTTGGTTTTTTTTTTTAATTTTTTGATGTTGTGATTTCAGGGGGCTACTCATTGATACTGGGGAGTTAGATCTAGAAGTAGAATTTGATGGCCGGCGGCGGTGGCGGTGGCGGTGGCGGTTGTTTGTCTTCTCCGACGAGTAGTAATAGGAAATTGACTTCGTCTTTCTTTGGTTCTCCGAGGTTGTTTGAAACAGAGGCTATAATGAGTCCAACGTCAATTCTCGAGCCATTTTTGGGTCTGAGGAATTCGTTTTGGTCGGAATCAAGTTCGCCCAGAACGCCGATTACGGAGTCCAAACGGCCGTGGGATTCAAAAGGGATCGGTCTCGCCATTGTTGATGCTCTAACAGAAGAGAATTCTAATCCGAAACCAACAAAACCCGAAACCCGTTTGGTTCTGTTGGGATCTCAGTTGAAGATTCAAATCCCTCCTCTACCGCCGTTCGTTTCTCCGGCTGACGAGGAATTCGGGATCAAGACGAGGAATTCCCATCTGGGTTCCTCATCCCCTGTTTCATCTCTGTCGCCGCCGAAGAAATCGGCGTTCGGATCCTCGAGCTCGAACTCCGGCCAGGAGACTCCGAATTCCCCTCTGGTTTTCACCGGCTGTCTCTCCGCCGATGAAATCGAACAATCAGAGGATTACACCTGCGTGATCTCTCACGGCCCAAATCCTCGAACCACTCATATCTTCGGCGATTGCGTAATCGAAAGCGGCTCCGGCGTATACTCACCGGCGAGGAAAGAAAATGGAACAAGCTTTTCCCCAGAAAATTTCCTCAGTTTCTGCGACAATTGCAAGAAGAATCTAGAACAGGGGAAAGATATTTACATGTACAGGTCGGAATCCAAAATTAAAAACATATTAAACCTCATAAATGATCATTAATTTCTGATCCGTTTAATTAATTTTTCAGAGGCGAGAAGGCATTTTGCAGCCATGAATGTCGATTCCAAGAGATGATGCTAGAGGAAGAAGACGACTGAAATGAAGAAAGCGCCATGGAAATGGAAATTATTGGAACGATTCCCATGTCTTTGTGCTCTGTTTTGTAGAGTTGGAATTTTGTTGTATGTTTGTTTAATTACAGGATTTTTTTTTTTTTTTTTTGCCCTTTTAATATTTCATTGTCGTAATAATGAAAGCTATTATATTATGTGATTAATCTCTACTCTTAATCAACTCTTAATTATGCACTTACCACTAATGACATTATTAAACTTGCTTTATTTCTTTGTCTCCCACCTTCTTTCACATTATCTATACATAATAATAATTACTTCTATTTTTTTTAGCTCAATTTTTTTAAAAAAAATATTTATATATTTTTAAAAGATGCAATATTATTTTTTAGCCTCTTATAAACGTACAAAAATATCTTTAAAATTAAGTTAAAAAAATATCCTTTTACTTTTAATAATATGTCAAAAATACCCTTCGAATTTTAAACTTTTAATTTCTTTTTTTAAATAAAAATACTTCAATATATTGACGGTAATTATTTGATTAATGTAAGAGTAATGATTAATAATATTTTAAGAGATTACATATTTCATAAAAAACCAACTTCTCATGCTAAGTTTAGGTTAAAATAAAATTACCAAAAGGCCCTTACGGGCTTCATTCATGGGCCGAAATTGTAGCTAAACGGGCCAAGGCCCAAAATTCAACAAAAGGGGGGGGGTAGTATCGTCATTTCACAAGAAACTATAGAGCATTTTCACCTGGGCGAAGTCGCAGAATCTGAAAGGGACAAGAAACTCCAGAAAAAAAGGAAGTTTGGATCCGTTTCAATCCCAAGTACCCGATCCGATTTGGACGACGACACGCTTCTGTGCTCCAACAATGGTAAGATCATCAATCAATCAAACTCAAGTTATTGAATCAATGTTGTTGAAATCGAGTTTGAATTTGTGAAAGATTTATGATAATCCCTTTTGAACTGCTTAATTTCTGAACGCCATTGCTTTCTAAGTTCTAACAAATTTCTGCATTTGATGCACTGCCATCGCTAATCAAACAAATTTCTGCCGGGGCTTTCTTAAAGTAGATATTATTGTTGGATGATGAAAATCTCACCTCGGCTAATTCACCAGGGAATGATCATGGGTTTATAAGTGAGTAATACTAACTCCATTGGTATGAGGCCTTTTGGGGAAACCCAAAGCAAAGCTATGAAAGCTTATACTCAAAGTGGACAATATCATACCATTGTGGAGAGTCGTGTTCGTCTAATAATTACCACATGAATTTACCATTGTTATCTTTCGCTGTTGGTGGAATTGTGAGTTCCTAATTTAGTGGCTTACCGGTGGATTCTTAATATAAGCATTAGAGTATCAGTCTTATTACCTTTGTTGACATCAGCAGTTGCTCTTCTTGTTGAAGAAAATGTGTTTGTGAGAGATCTTCCCTTGTGGAGATGAAAACGAAGCATTTTTTATAAGACCGTGGAAATCTACGCAACGGACTAAAATTGGTTTCGGATTTTCATTATGTCTGAGTACTTGCTATATGGCTTAGGTTTTTCTTATTACTGGTTTAAATCATCACAGTTCTTGGTCAGGTAGTATGTTTTTGTTGAAATGCCACTCTGATGTCCTTAATATTTCATATGCATAGTAAGACATAGAAAGTGGGAGATTTGAAGGGGAAAACTCCATGATAATGCACCAAGAAACAATTGGAACTAATATTATGAGAAGATATCTAAAATAATTGGAACTATTATTCCTTGATGTTCATCAGTTTGTTCTTATTCTTTATTCGACACATGCTTGAAATAATGTTAGATCTTTTGCTGGCAAAACTAATGAAGGAGAAGAAAAAACAAAATCAATATCTGTGGATTTATAAGGATATTGCCTTGATTTTCTTACTGTGTTAGAAGGACCACTTGATTGCACTTATTATTCTCTTTCAAATCGTTTCCCTTTCAGGCAATACAAGTTATAGTTGATGCCTGCTCTTATTTTTAGCTTTGTTTTCTTCTCATTGTTTGGCTTCGTTCTTCTGTGGAAAGGCTAACATCAAGTCGTTTTTCAGGCTTCTTTCATGCTGTTCTTGTGGTAGCAGCAAGAACATATCCACTGGGAATAGAAGCCACAGTTTTTCCAACTCTCATGTCTTATAGCAACGGAGGGAGCCTTCATGGAAGTCTGGTAGGTGCTCTGCCTTGACTTAGCTCGTTGGTGTCACTAATGATAGATTTGAATTTTTGACCTCTCTAGAAACGTTAGAAATGTTTGTGCAATCTGAGCTAGTGTTGCCTTTCCCCTCCTTGACTCTTGACTATAACAGCCCAAGCCCACCTCTAGCAGATATTGTCTTCTTTAGAACACGTCTTAGGTTTTTAGAACACGTCTACTAAGGAGAGGTTTTCACACCTTTATAAAGAACGTTTCATTCTCCTCACCAACCGATGTGAGATCTCACAATCCACCCCTTTTGGGGTCCAACATCCTAGCTCACACTCGTTCCCTTCTCCAATTGATGTGGGACCCCTCAATCCACCTCCTTTCGGGACTCAGTGTCTTTGCTGGTACACCGCCTCGTGTCCACCCTCTTCAGGACTTAGCCTCCTTGTTAATACACTTTTATAAAAAATGCTTCGTTTTCGTGTCCAACCGATATGAGATCTCACAATCCACCCCACTTCGAGACCTAACGTCCTCGCTGGCACCTGTTCCCTTCTCCAATCGAGGTGGAACCCCCCAATCCACCCCCTTTTCGGGGCCCAGTGTCCTTGCTAGCACACCTCCTTGTGTCCACCTCCATTCGGGACGTAGCCTCTTCATTAGCACACCCTTATAAGGAATGATTCGTTTGCCTCTCCAATCGATGTGGGATCTCACATTGTCCTTCTTCTGGATGAAAACCCAGATCTCAGCTGAAAAGAGAGCTCAGACATAGAAATGAAATCAATTTAAGTCTCATCCTAGCTTCCTCCCCACCAAAACAGAAGAATTTTTGCAACAACTGTAGATATTTTGAAAAACTTTCTTGTCACACAATTAAAACAATTCATAGATTGCCAAACATTGCTGCCGACCAGAATCAAATAGAGTCTTGTAGATTGTGACATTGATTAACGCTATATCTGGCGCACATAGACCTTTCCATTTGGATATGGACATGGCTTTGTGCATCATCAAGGGACCCAAAGAAACGTCTCATGTGGTTGGCGGATTCTGCAGTCCACATGGTGGGTCCTGTTTTTTTGCCACATACTCTCATTCCTATCCCAATTTCATTAACCAGAAAAAGCTTCCTTATGAGTCGTCAAACCAGCCAGAAACCTGCCCAAGTTGCTAGGCAGCTACCATTCAATAGTAGTACTGGATTTTATTGCATGCTCCTATTTCATGCTCCTATTTCTGCTGTATGTTTGTGTTCTGAATGAGTCTGAAGCCCACCGTTAACGGATATTGTTTTTTTTTTGTTTTCTTTTTTTGGACGTTTTTCAAAGTTTTTAAAACGTATTCAGAAGTTTCTACGCCCTTATAAAGAATGCTCTATTTTTCTTCCCAACCGACATGGGATCTCCCAATAACGAGCATTCTGCCGTCTTTTGATTTGATATGAGTTAGAACAAAAGAAACCGGGAGAGGAAGGGGGAATGCATGTGGGTTGCCATGTGAAGATTGTATTGTTCATTAATTTCTTGAACAAACTTCACCTAACCCCATAATAATAATTGTCTTTCAAAATAAAATATTCTCATATTCCTCATCTAATTTTAAGTATGCCCATTTTTGTTTTGTTTTTGGAGCTTAACTCATCAGTTCGGGTTGGGGTTGGGTTTGGGTTTATTTTGTCTCATTCAATATCAAGAACTAAAATTGCTACGAAGCGGGAGGGAAAATGAAGTCGATTTCTTTTTCTTTACACACATGATTGATTATTGAGTAGAAGATTTTAGGTAGATTTGATTTGTGGGTTATTGCAATGAAGATGAGACATGAGAAGCCGAACACTCGTTGTAAGCCCATTTGGGTTGCCGGACATCCACCGGACATCCACCGGACAACCATTTAGTTGTCTTGAGTGTGACATTTGATCCCTACTGTTAGGGCTTCTCACCAACCCCACATGTTTCTTCCCTTTCTCTCAAACTTCTCATATTCTTTTCATATTCCATTTAAGTATTTCCTACATACTCCACATCTCAATCATACCTACCCTATATATATTTACGCTTTATCAGCCCAAACTCGTGTCCTCGACCTTGATATAGCTCGATCATCTATAACCTAAATATGAGTTGGACTCTACATGTCAATCATTCTAGCCAACATTTACGCTTAATCAGTTCCAACTCGAGTCGTCGACCTCAATGTAGCTTTATCGTTTGCTCACCTAAATGCAGCTGAATTGGACCCTACATGCCAATCATTCTAGCCAACGTCTACGCTCGGTCAGTTTGAACTCTAATGACCAATGTTTATGTAGTTTACTCATATGATCACATGATCGAAACGGTGTATTAACCAATTACGCGTTATCTACTATTTCTTTTGACTCGATTCTTTTATCTCAATTTATTATTGGATCATTAGTACACACGTTTTTTATTTTTATATCACACATCGAGGACATGACATGAATTTGAAAAATCGTCCGGTACCCAAAATGTTTTTATTACAATTTTAATTCCTATGATTTAGAGAAAGTTAAAATTCAGTTAGAATAAATCTTTACGTTATAATAAAATTCTCACCTATACGATAACAAGATAACAAAATGAAATATAGTATAAATAAATTAAAAGAAAAACTATATATTAAATGGAATCCACATGCATATATTGCACAAAATTCAAGAACATATTGATGAAGAAATATTGGTGGGAGAGTTTGATATGATATGTTTGAGTGTTTACATCAAATTCCAGTTGTTCAAATTAACTATAATGCATTTAATTTTTCCATTAAATAACACCTAAAATAAATAAATAAATAAAGAGAGGTCGGAGTGGGTGTGCTTTTGCTCCGCCGCCGCCACCACCACAACCACCGCCCTCCATTACAGAATGTTGCATTTAATTTCATGATTAATTGATATGTTACATCAATCATTTAATAAACCATTTAGAAAAGAGTCCACTTCACGTTACATTAAAATCTTGTTTGACTCGAGATTCGAAATAGTTTTGAGTTCATAAAGTTTGAGATTGAAAAAAAGCTTAATAAGAACGCTTTTTATCTAAACTCTTATTTAATCATCTCAAATTTTATCTTAATTGACATAAATTGTGTTAAAGATAAAATTTTAAATATTTATTAAAAAAATTATCAAATTTTCTATAAATTTAATAGGATGAAATTCAAGTTTAAAAAAAAAAAACTGTTTTAAAGGATCGATTTAGATTTTATTTTAATAATTATTTAACTATCCTTTGAAAAAATAAATAATACAAATTTTAAATTTTGATAGGCAAAATATTCAATAATAATTAGATTTTGAATAAAATATTATTCATTTAGAAAATAGTATGCTAAAAATAGCCACCACTAAGATTTTAAATCTTTATTATTTTAGATATTTAAAAAAATTTCTAAAATAAATTATTTAATCTAAAATATCATAAGGTGGCTATGGGATTAATGTGACATTAATTCTAAATTCCCTAATGATATGATCGCTTTTAAAATTAGTCTTAGCCCTTTAAATTAATTAATGATGCAAACAAACAATCATTATTGCATCATTTATAACACACTGATTTAAAAAATATTAAAAATTAAAATTTGAATTGCTTGTTGTTGGGGGCAAAACATGAGAATAGGACATGACTAAATAATTAAAAACAAAGCATATCATTATAATATATTTTTTCATTTTTTTTTTTTTTTTTTTAAATATGTTACTTTCTTTTTGTTAAAGTTTGGAACTTTATATTATTCATATGAAGCCAAAAAGTTGTTTGCATTATTACATTATTACTTTGTATCTAACTATGTTAAAATTTGGATAAATAATTAAAAACTTTAAAATCACTCTCAAACATCTTCTAAATATCCATCTAATCCATTTAGTAAACACGTTGATTCGTATTTGTGAGGTCCCACATCGGCTAGAGAGTGAAACTAAACATTTCTTAGTAGTCGCGCTTTAAAACTGTGAGGCTGACGGCGATACGAAACGGGTCAAAGCAGACAATATCTACTATTAGTGGGTTTATGTGGTTACAAATGATATTAGAGCCCGAGACTAGATGATGTGCTAGTGAAGATGCTGGGGGTGGGCCCGTAAGGGAGGTGAATTGTGAGATCCTACATCGGTGCACCGAGTGGTGGGCTAGTGAGGACACTGGGACTGAGCCCTCAAGAGGGTAGATTGTAAGATCCCACATCGGTTGAAGAGGGGAACGAAGCATTTCTTATAAGGGTGTAAAAACCTCTTCCTAATAAAGACGATAATTTGAAGTAAAGGGTATAGTTTATAAAAGAGTGAAAGAAATGGTTTGCATAAGTGGATGTGTAAATTGGTGAACCCACCAAACATACTTGAAAATACACTTCCATATACTTAGAAGCAATGATTTTGAGCATAAAATGAATAAAATTGAAGAAATTGAAGAAATGGGTAATTAAAAGGTGTAAAGTGGAGTGATTTAGTTCCACATATTTGGTTTTTGGATTTTAATGGGACCAAAGCATCAAATATTAATTGCTAGAAAGGGCCAAGTTAGGGCCACCCTTGACCCACCTTTCTTTCATTTTCCATTGCCCCATGTTCCCTTAGAACATGGAGCAAATTATGGCACATTTCCCTTTCTTAATTCAACCCAACCCCTCTCCTACCTCTCTTTTTTTCACTCAAACCCTCGCCCCACGCATTACCGTTCACAACTCAATCCAACCCAGTTCTTTATAGATATTGTCCTCCTTGAATTTTCCCTCTTGAGTTTCCTCTCAAGGATTTTAAAATGCATTTACTAGGGAGAGATTTCTACACCCTTATAAAGAATGCTTCGTTGCCTCTCCAACCGATATGGGATCTCACACGTCGGTTACAAATGTCAAATATTCTTAATCTTCATAATCATCTTAGAAGGAGGGTAGGTCGAGTTGGACAGTAACCCTATTTTCCAGGTTTGTTGGGTTTGTGTCAAAATTTTCAATTTTTTAAGAAATCAACCAAACCCAACTAAATTTTTATAATTTGGATTAGATAGTTCGAATTAGTCGAGCTTTCGAGTCACGTAAACACACGTGAATGGGTAGGTTTCTTCGTGAATAATTATGTAACTATAAACACATGTATTAATAGGTTTATGGAATACACAACATAAAAGTGAGTGAGGTGAGCAGACAATTTTTTAGAGAAAAGAAAGTTGAGTAAAATAAAAAGAAGGCATAGCCCACTTTGAGCTTTCCACTTTCCATAGCCATTTGTTCTTGATGTTCTTGATGTTCTTGAATGGAAGAGATAGAAACAGTGAAGTGCGAGTGCTGTGGGTTAAAAGAAGAGTGCACACAGCATTACATATCTCAAGTCAAGGCCAACTTCGACGCCAAATGGCTCTGTGGCCTCTGTTCTGAAGCCGTTCATGACGAAATTTTCAGATCCAAAAACCCGCCGCCGTCCGCCGGGATTCAAGACGCCGTCAAAGCCCACATGCTCTTTTGCCGGAAGTTCAAATCTAACCCCGCCGTTAGAGTCGCCGACGGCATGAAGCAAATCTTGAGAAGACGCTCTTCCGACTTGTCGTCCTCCCACTCCTCTTCTCCTTCTTCTTCCTCCTCATCCTCCACTTCTTCCCAGGTTCGCGACATGTCGTCTTTCTCCTCCTCCTTTACATAATTTTCCACTCTACACCATTCAATTCCCTTTCAATATTAATAATAATCCTTCCTCTCTCTGTGTTGTTTTTTTTTTTATGCATGAAAAGTTAAAAAAAAAAAAATCAATTTTATACTCTATCGAGCATAAAAATTTTCGATTAATAGTTCGTTACACACAAATCCACTTTTCTTCGATACCCGAGTCGAGTTGGTCTCACTTTGATTAGTTGCATCGCCTATTTCTCGTTCTGGCTCGGGAGCCAAAACAATTTCTTTACGAACTCACTTGACCCCAGCCCAAATATCCAAGTGGGCCCAATGAGAAGAGACCCCCTACACTCTCTCTCTCACGTATTCACCTCCACCAGAGTCCCTCTTTAGGATCGGTCTTATGATGAATAGCTGCCCCTGGGGTTACTCGCGATTGGTAATAGCATAACCAGAAGAGGGGTAGGGGAAAGAAGGTTACGCGCTGGTTAATGCAGCGCATCTGTCTCGGGATATGTGAATCATTTAAATTTTTACTAAAAATATATTTGAATAAATTTGAATGATTAAATTAAATTTAAGAATTATTATTATTATTAATATTATTTGGGTAATAATGTTGTTGGATTAAGTGGGATTTAAGGAAGTTTGAGTGTGCTTCAATTGAAGTCAAATGATATTAATTATCTCAGTTGGGTTGATTAAGATGTAAGATTAGTGTAATTAAAATTAATTAATGTATTAAAAAAATATAATGTAATTGAATTGTTTATAAAGTTTTTATACAAATATATATATACAATAAAGTAGCACCAACACTAAATCTCATTTATGATTTAATATGTCATTTTTTTTTGTGGATAGGACACATTTTTAGGTCACCTTGCCCTGTATAATAACGACATTTTATCATATAATACCATTAATAAAATTTTCTTTTATTCAATTTATTGGATTTCACATAGTTATTGATTTTTTTTAAATAGTGACATATTAAATATATTAATAAATAAGTTCAAATGGGAATAGTTTTTTAATTTATGACCCAATTTGTGTGTGAATTTTGGCTATAAATTCGGCTGGGGTGTTTTCTGTCAAAAGGTTAAAATGGGCCAACCATTTTGGGCCGACCATGTTGGGCTCTTTAACACCACTTAGTAGGCCCATTAATACATTACCAAACGTTTTGGGCCGACCATATTTGGGCTCTTTAACACCACTTAGTAGGCCCATTGATACATCAGCAAACTTCAAATAAGTTTAAATTATTATTTTGATAACTATATGTCTGAAAATTTCATTTTTTATATTTTTAATAAATATTAAAATAATTCATGCCATTAGTGATACGTGGAAATCACTGCAAGGGGAGTAAGATTCGGATTATCTTGTTGATCGAATATCTCAAGGCAAGAACATTGTTTGAGATTCGAATCACTCCACAAGTAAGATCGATCACGTCTATAGCTTGAATGATTCTTGTTGATCAAATGTCTCAAAGCAAGAACACTTGTTTGAGATTCGAATCACTTCACAACCAAGATTGATCATGTTGAGCTTGAATGATTCTACATGCAACCTAAACTATGTAGAATTGCAAAGAAACTTACCCATGGACTAAAGAAGAGTACATATGCTTCTTTTACTATATTTTCCAAGTTTACTTACCAATACAACATACATGATTTTATACCGCCTCTAAATCTTAAAATAAAAAAATCTTAAAATATATTAATAAAATACAATGACTCTAAATTGTAATCCACCTAAAATTAATAACATGAAATTTTATTCTTTTTCAACGTGCATGAATTCAAATATATTTTGAAATTTCAACCCTATTTTCTTCACATTTTCGCATATGGTATGATTGATGTCTCTTGGTTTATATCAATTAGTTTTTATTTACATTTATATAAATTTTGGAAATAAGTTTCTATCAAAATTATTATTATTTAAAATAATAATAAAACTTCAATTAATAGGGAGGATTAAATCTGACAATAAATTGTCGATTTTACCAATAATGATTTAACCGAGACATTGACAATGAAAAAAGCACTGCATATAAATTTGATATCTTGACAATGTTATAAGCAGTGACACTATTTTTCTCGTGAGATCAAGTTCATGGTAGCAATTGTGACATTGTACCAAGCGTTGTGGTTGAGAAAATTGTTGAGCGAAATGACGGGAAGTGAATTAAAGTCGGTAACTCTGTAGGTCGACAACAAATTTGGGAGTGCATCGATGAAAAATGCAGTTTTAGGGACGTAGCGAACACTTTACCCATTAATTCCGATTCCAACACCAATTCGTTGATGATTCTTCCCTTTCCTTGAACACCAACTCTATGATCAACATTTTGATTCCTTTTTGGAATCCATCTTCCTTCCTTTCTTTACCAGACAATCACTTTGTTTCTTCCAAGTTCATCCAATGTCGACCAGCCGGAATATCTCTCCTCCTCAATCGCTTCCGGGTTTAAACCCTAACAAACTGCGGCGGTTGCCCCATCTTTTCAGCCGGGTTTTGGAGCTTCCCTTTTTTAAGTCCGATGCCGATATTTCCATTTCCGAAACCTCTGATTGCTTCCGATTCGTAGCGGAAACTGATGGACTCCGCCGCGAGTTTAGGGCGCACACGGTTCATATCCATCCCGGAGTCCTCAAGGTTGTGATTACACAAATTGGGGCTCTGGAGTTGAAGTTAGATGAACTGGAAATCGATACGTGGAGATTTCGACTGCCGGAAACGGCTCTGCCGGAGCTTGTAACCGCCGCGTTCGCCGGCGGAAAGCTGATCGTGACGGTTCCGAAGACGGAAGACGCCGGAAAAGGTGCGTGGGGGGATAAGAAAGGGGATTGTTTAGTCAATCTTGCTCGCTCTGTTTCCATTTTTCATATATTGAAAGGAATTTAATGAAATTTGAGCTTTCTATTGAATCGTTCGGCGCTTTGTTTAGAGACGTTTTCGGGTTTTCACACCCTCATAACCAATCTTTTGTTCCACTCTCATGTGAGATCTCACCGTTTTTGTAACAACACGAACGAATTGCTAGCACATATTGTCAGCTTTGATCAGTTACATATAGCTCTTTAGACTCACGATTTTAAAATACGTCGATCAGGGAGAGGTTTTGAGGTTTCCACACTTTTATAAACAACGTTTTGTTATTCTCTCCAACCGATATGAGATTTCACAATTTTTGTAAACGCTAGTAGATATTGTCTACTTTAGTTCGTTATGTATCACCGTCAATCTTACGATTTTAAAACGCGTCTATTAAGAAAGAATTTCAGGTTTCCACATTCTTACAAGAAATTTTTCGTTCTTCTCTTCAACCGATGTGGGGTTTCACAACTTTTGTAACAGCCCAAGCTAACCGCTAGCATATATTGTCCCTGCTACGTATCGTCGATCAAACAATTTTTGTAATAGCCCAAACCAACCGCGAGTAGATATTATCCACTTTAGGCTGTTACATATCATCGATATCACAATTTTTGTAACAGGGCAAACCAACTGCTAACAGGTATTGTCTACTTTAACCGGTTACCTATCACCATCAATCTCATGATTTTAATACCCTTACAAAGATAAAATTAGTATATTAGAGAGAGATTTTCAGACCTTATAAAAAATGTTTTGGTTATATTCTCCAATAGACATGCTTCATGATTTTAAAACACGTCTGTCCTACACTCAACCGACCTATCTCGGCCTGAGTTTGAACCAATCAAGATTAAATATGGATGGTCTTTACCAATGAAACCTGTACCATAGAATTACAGAATTCAACACGTGTCTGGTGACGTGTCATTTACAATTTCTTCCAAATGTCCGGCAACGACCGTTTAAATCCCTCTCCTCCGACCTCTGCAACATTCCCTCCTCCTCCTCCTCCGATTGTTTCAGGATCCTTTACTTTGTGAAAGCAAATGAGCCAAGAACAGCCGCGCCGCCACCAACAGCAACAACCCATCAAGTATGGCGACATTTTCAACGTCTCTGGAGATCTCGCCTCCAAGGCTATACCGCCGGTGGATGCTGACATGATGCAAACCGCCGAAACCATGGTGTTCGGTGAAACCCAGAAGGGCGGGCCCGCCGCAATGATGCAGTCTGCCGCCTCACGTAATGAGCGCTCTGGCTTCGTTGGCCATGACGATGTCACTGATGCTGCTAGAGACCAAGGAGTCGCCGTCAAGGAGACCGATGTCCCCGGAATTCGAGTCATCACCGAAAAAGTCGCCGGACAGGTCCCCATTTTAATTCTGAAACCATTGATTTTACGTCAAATGAAATCGGGAGATACTCTGTTTTGTTAGGGATGGGAACTCAAAGTACACTCTTAAGCTTACTTCATAATCTTAATGATCATTAGTCAACGACAGACTCCATCTCAACAATCCTCTCCTCGAACAAAGTACATTATAGAGCCTCCTCTGAGGTCTATGAAGCCCTCCAATAGTCTCCCCTAAATCGAGGTACGACCTCATCTCTGGACCCGTCCCCTAAAACAAAGTATACTGTAGAGTCTCCTCTAATGTCTATGAAGCCCTCAAACAGCCTCCACTTAATCAACACTCGACTTCATCTCTGGAGCCTTCTCCTAAGAAAAAATACACTATAGAGCCTCCCTTAAGGTTAATGGAGCCCTCAAACAACCTCCCCGAGGCTTGATTTCCTTTCTGGAGCCCTCCCCTCGAACAAAGACACTATAAAGGCTCCTATGAGGACTATGGAGCCCTCAAACAGTCTCTCCCTAATCGAGGCTTGACTACTTCTCTTGAGCCCCTCGAACAAAGTACACTATAAAGCCTCCTCTGAGGTCTATGGAGCCCTCAAACAGCCTCCCATTTATCGAGGCTCGACTTCTTCTCTAGAGCCCTCCCCTCGAACAAAGTACACTATAAAGCCTCCTATGAGGTCTATGGAGCCTTCAAACAGCCTCCCCTTAATCAAAGCTCGACTTCTTCTCTGGAGCCCTCCCTTCAAATAAAGTACACTATAAAATCTCCTTTGAGGTCTATGGAGCCCTCAAACAGCCTTCCCTTAATCGAGGCTCGACTTCTTCTCTGGAGCCTTCCCCCCTCAAACAAAGTACACCCTTTCTTCGATACTTGAGTTACTTTTAACTACAATTTCGAGACTCACAACTTATTTATTTGACCTTCAAGGATTCTGTTGATATGACTAAGTTAAAGACATGACTCTTATACCCATATTAGGAATCACGACTCTCCACAATGGTATGATATTGTTCACTTTGAGCATAATCTCTCATGACTTTTTTTTTTTTCTTTCCAAAAAGCCTCGTGTATTCCTTACTTATAAACCCAAATCCACTGTCATTCTCTAAATCAACTTAAAATCAATTATGTGGGACTCCTTCTCAACATGTTTTTCACCCTTCAAATGCAGGTCGTTGGGCAGTTTGTGGAGCCTACGCCGTTTATTGGAGCTGCCATTGTTGAGCAGAATGCAATCACCATAGGACAAGCTCTAGAAGCGACTGCTCACACTGCAGGCGATAAACCGGTTGATGAGAGCGATGCTGCTGCTATTCAAGCAGCAGAGGTGAGGGCGACAGGGAGCAACGTCGTGATACCGGGCGGACTCGCAGCGAGTGCTCAGTCGGCTGCTGCTTTCAATTCCGGAGTTAGCAAGGATGAAGATAAGATTAAACTGAAGGACATCCTCATTGTACGTTTGAACGAACAAAAACAGAGGAAACAATGTTTGAATTTAATTTCAGGTACAAAAGGGTCGCAAATTATATGTAGTTTTGGTTGACAGGACGCCGCAATGAGGCTGCCAGCAGATAAAGTGGTGACAAAGCAGGACGCGGAAGGGGTAATGAGTGCAGAGATGAGGAACAAGGCGAGAGTAGCAGCTCATCCTGGTGGGGTGGCGGAGTCCATGGCAGAAGCCGCTAGGATGAATGAGAATGTGCGCCATCAATGAGCGTGAGAGTAGCAGCAATGCATGTGTTCTTTGGTTTGCGGTCTTGCAGCTATCCAACTTTGCAGAAAACTAAGGTCGATGTTGGCTCAATAAATGAAACTCTTGAATGAATTGTTAAGTGTACCATGTCACGATCATATTTGTTTAAGGCGTGTTATCTGTAGTTGAATGTTATAGTCATGTTTGTATAGAATGTCGCATGTTTATTTCAAATTATTTTTATTTCTTTTATGTTAAATAGGTTTTTACTACTTTTGTTGTGTCATTATTGGGTGTAAGATCAGTTACCAAAATCATGTCTACGTCCCCTAGGGTTAAAATGCTCCAAAATGTAATATAAAGATGTGATTTATCATCAATTCTTCCTACTTGGGTCATATGCCTATCCTGTTTTTAGCCTATAGCCTATTCTATTAACGTATTTCTTAGCTTATGTCAATATTGTCTGCAAAGTTCAAATCTTACTCGGCTGGCTGGCTTATTTGTTAAGATAGATTTTACGTATGCATTCATTATAATTGCTTATTTGTTAAGAGATACATTATAATTGCTTATTTGTTAAGAGAGATTTTACGTATGCATTCATTATAATTTGAATATTGCCAAAATATATGCACTTGAGATGTTTTGAAGAGGCCCCATTTTGTCAAACCATATTGCATATCTCGAAGTTTGGATGAAGATTGACAAGGACGATTCGGGTTGGCCCACTACAGATTCAAGTTGTGTATAATGTGTGGAACTCAATTATTTCTAGGTAGAATCTATGAGATACGAATTTGATTTGAAATTACTATTTACTAAAGATAGAATATTTAGACATGTGAACATATGAACATGTTACCTTCAGAATAAGGATCGAATTCTTTGACGAAAATGCATCAAATGAGTAAACGAACTTAGGCACCTGATGAGAAGTTGAGGCTAAACAAAGAAAATCCAAATTTCAAACCATTTTTGTAAAACTTCTCCTGTTTCTTTACCACCAAGTGGCTGCTAAGCGATGATCTGATAAACAATTTGCAATAGCTCAGGAGTAAGATTGCAACAGGTAGAATTCAAAAGACACATGAACAAGCATCAGATTGACTGATCATGCCCTGCCTGCTTCATAGCCACAGACAGCAAATCAGAGATGACGACGAACTATCAAACGCCACTTGGGCGAAACATAATCTGTACATTGAGGTAATATTTGAATTTGGATGAAAGTAAATAACCCTCAAATACGGATGGATGATAGGCATGATCGAGTAAGAGACTAAGAGATTAATATAAGCAATAGGACAAGCCTTTCTACAACTAAAGACCAAATGACATTAGGATCTACTTAATAATGTTTTTGTCGTGGTCATCCTAATAACTTTACACCATCAACCTACAGCTAAAGTTTGATCAACATTAGAGTTTGGCTTCTCAGCACGAAAAGTCACAATTAACACGCATACATCGCTACTGTTTAATGGTTAGGTATTACAGACAAACCATTATGAAAGTAAATAACAAGATCGGAGTCATCAAATCAGCAGTTACCATCATCAGAGATCAGTCATGTTTATCGGTAGTAAGCTGGTTGATATGCTGGGGCCATTGGCTTGCCGTAACCACCATATACGGGATATGACATTGGAGGCGTGGGAAAGGATCCAGCATGTGGAGCAGCTTCCGGTGAGTAAGTGTATCCAGCATGTGGAGCAGATTCAGGCGAGTAAGTGTAAGGATTTGTGGGTGGGCTTCTGCTACCATACATTGAGGGTGGGGAATGGTAAGGTGGGACACCAGCAGGGTATTGAGAGTGCGAGGGGGACCTAACGAATGCGGGAGCTGCAGGGTACGAAGATACGTACGCATTCGTCAAACGACCAGCCTTGGCAGGAGGCATAGGACCGCCATTGTTTGCTCGTGTTCTCTTGTTGGCAGGGACTGCAGCAGGCTTTCTCTTCTCAACCTTAACCTTTTCAAGCT